CGGGGTTGTCCAGTCGGCACAGCGTCAGACTCGAACCGAAAGGTGCGGGGTTCCAGGTAGATCTGAATCACTGGCCTTCCTTTTGAGGTCGGAAAATACTTACCACTCTGTGGGAAGGGAATAGGAGACAGTTTGCCATATGGCTATACACTGCATTCAAAATAAAACGCTCCTACGAAAATCAGCATTGCATCATCAATTTCATAAAAGTATGGGCGCCAGAAGGGCCCAATCATGAAGGCAAAGAAATACAGTGAAATATTCCAACGATGAATGCTTTCCTTTTGACTTCGCTTTCCCCATCCTAAAAATAGCGGAAGGACTGTTTGTTTTGTACTTTTCTCTGTGTGATTCTCTTCATATTATATCGACTGTGACGAAGTGGAAGGAATTTGACACGGTCCCCGCACGCCGTTTTAGGCGTGAGGCGACCAAATGGCAAGCTCTCGCTTCTCTCGCAGGACCGGAAACATGGGCCGAACAAAATAGAGCGCTCGCCATTCGCACGTCTCAAGACAAGACAATGCTAGACGCTCTTTGCACTGGAAGTACAGCTTGCATGTCAACGCGGATTGCGCCTCGAGGATGAACAAAGAATCCGTAGGCATATAAAATGACTAGTCAGAGTTGAAACGGGGAGATTATTATGTAGATATGGAGATTATGATATCTTATGACCAGATTCCGCGTCCTGTTTGCTAGCAACCCCCAGCAGGTTACACTTACACTAAATTTAACGGTGTTTTCCAGAACTGGGGAATTGAAGGACGGTTTTATATGGAGGCATTTGTGTGAATGCGATCTGTGTGATACGCTGAAAATGTGAAGTGTTACCAGCAAGCGAGTTATAGACACCCAAGGAGTCAGTTTTCTGGCATGACTGACTATCGCAAGTTCCTAATTCAGCTAGAACCTTCAGAAAGTGTTATGATGTTCAAGAAACCAGAAACGTTGAAATGTTTTTCATAAATCATGAGAATGTCGTGATTACAGCTGCAGTGTTATAGGTCAGTACAAACTTTGTTTCCAGGTAGTTCGTATACCTTCCCATAAGTGATGCTCCTTCGAACGAGGTCCTGCTGGCATTAAAATTAGCTTCCTGAACAGTTGTGGGAAGTTGTGATTTATGTTGCATTGTTTATGATTCTACACCGATGTAAGTAAATGTTAGTAATCAATTGACAGACGATCGCTGTTTTCGTTTAATGTAGGTGCCTATGTACAGACTTAGTACTTGATATTTTTAGGCGATGTTCTTATCGTTTCGCGTTGATGAATTGAAGGCACTCCTGGCACATTTTAAACGACCAAAAAACGGAAGAAAAGAGGATCTATTGAGACGTGTCCGTGAGCTATTGAACAAAGGCAATTTGCTGGATATACAGGCAAAAATCCGTGAGATTTACATGTAAATTTAAACGTCGTCTATTTCATTTATTCTGTGCTTTAGCATCGACTTTCATATGTATAATTTTTTTCTTTATTTAGGAGCCGACCATACTTACATATGGGGCTAGAAGAACGGATGAAGCGAGTTTTAGCTGGTAAATCGATGAACGCCCAGCGTTCCATAATTAAAGGCTTCGGGATGGCACATAAGACAGATGTTGCGGCACCGGTTCCTGTTGTTGATGGTGCACCATCTTTCTCTGGTCAGCAGGTGTCTACCAGTCAGCAAGCAGTAGATGTAAAGTTGGCCGAATTACCCTTTTATGACTTTGTTGAAGAACTGGTTAAACCCACCTTACTGTGTAAGTCATCCTAATGTTACATGTTAAACGTGTTTTAAATAAGCCCTAATCAGCGTTTAAATCTCTTCATGTAGCCAATATCTGTGAATTTGTAAGTAACTTATCCGTGACTTAATTTACACCTCTGTTTTTGTAAGAGGCTGACATTTCAGTGCACTACCGGCTAATTTTGTCTAACTTTTCAGGCATTTCTGCCTGTATTCTCACGCTTCTGCTGATAAAAGACAGGTTCTCCTGATATGGGAAATAGACTGTTTCTAAATCTTTTGTAGACCACATCATCATCCTTTTTCGACCATGAAGCCCCCTCCAAGACTTTTTTACTGACTTCTGTTTCTGCCGCGTTCATGCGTCTTGTTTCAGCGAACTTCTTCAGCTCATCCTGCCATTGATATTGAGGTCTGCGTTTGATCCTTCTTACTCTCTCTGAACCTATTCTAATGTCCCTGGTCCAGCGATTATCGGTTTTTCTCAATGTGCCCTACGTATTGTTACTTTAGCTTCACACCTGAATTGCTATCGCAGATTCTTGTTTGTGGTCTTCTCAATTCGCTCGTCATCGTATTTCTTGTTTTTTCCATCATAACCATTCCATGCTGCGCTGCGTAGTCTGATAGATAAATGAATAGCCTTCATGCTTAGGGTTCCAGATTTCGCACCTGTAGGTTAGCACTGGAATGCACATTGATCCAGAACTTTTCGTTTTGAGACAGTTTCCAACGTACGAATTTTTTCCATCTTCCCCAAATGCTCCATGCAAATTTTGCTCTTTTGTTGGTTTACATTGTCGGTTCTACGCGCGCGCAAATGAGTTGACCTAAAC